CATAGTTTGGCTTCAATGCGACTCCATATCCACAGAAATGGGGTTGACTCTTAACAGCCCTCTCACATGCTCTAGCAGGCCACTTAGTTCAAGGGCAGTTAGGGATGGGCAATCAATGCTGGCCTAGGGAGTGACAATCACATCCTATCAACAAAAAATAAAAAGAAGCACTGTGTCAGGCACTATTTAAAACAAAGGTCAATGCATCTTTAAGAAAAATTGTGGATAAATACCAGAAGTAGAGAAAGAGACAGGGTTATGCGAGTAAAGGTGGCAGTGTAACTAATTTTAGGTTCCTTTTCTTGTGCTATAAACCTCTACATTCTCATTGCTCCTGAACAACACAATGCCAGTAGGATATTTTACAACCATACATAGACTGCACTGACACATGAATCCTTTAGGATGGCAGTAACAAATACAAAAGTATATGTGCACACAGTTCTATCATTAGATTTTGGAAGTATACAAACATTAAACAGAATTGAGAGTGTTCTCAGTTGTGAAACAACACACAAAAAAGTATACATACTATGTGGTGTTGATTTTTCAACTTCCTTTTTAAGGAAGGAATACTATTAAGTCAAGATGAAGAATACAGTGAAATTCTCCTCCTGAGAGTATGTCCAGGTAAATTTCTTAATGATTAGACAACCATCAAATATTAGTATGTAAAGCTAATATAAGTATACACTTAGACCTCACTGAGTAAATGAAGGAGCGTACGGAATTTAACACATTATACTTATTTGTTGATCTTCTCTTTCAATAACCTGCACTGATATATCACCTTCTGATTCTTGCTCAGACATAGGCCATTCCAACTCTGCTGAGTTCATCTCTGTCCAAATTTACTTTTGATGAGACCCACAATCTCATTTTATAGTCTTCCCATCTTAGCAAACCTAGGATCAGAACAAAGGACACCTGGCAAGCTTCAAAATCTACACTGTCTACTTTATATCCATGATTCAATGTTTTAGCAGTCAATATTTCCAGTGTTTTATTCTTGCGCTCTTTTCAACAATATTCTTGAACATTTGATCAGATGTTTGCAGGTAGACTCATTTTGCAGGAATATTATTTAAATAAGATTCACATCACAAAGCCTGAGGTGTTTTCTCTTAAAAGTACAGCAGTGAATGAAACTGCCATATGTTGCAAAATTCTGAAGACTGACATTTGTGTATTATTCTGTCCTTTGACTTGCTGTTTCACCATTTATTTTCAATAGAAATTCACTGACCATCAATGGAACAGCATTTTACTAAGAACAGAATTCGATGAAAACGTTAAAAGGTAAAAAAAAAGCAAATAAGTAAAAAGCACTGAACTATAAATTTATAGAATGACACGTAGAAAATACAATAATATTGAAGCATACATCTTGTATGGATGTTTTATTACAACTGGGTCCTACATCTTGAACACGTAAAATTAATAAGCGCTAAAATTAGAGTTTAATTATTTCATGAGAAACTTTCTGTATTATTTATAATCAAATACAAGTACAATTACCTTCACATTCCTCTGAGAAGCAGAAAAAAGTCAAAAAGTACAAAATTAAAATGGTTAGAATGAACATGATTAAAAATACTGCAATTTTTTGAAAAAACAAAATAGGCAACACCTACCACTCTCAAGAGTTTCCTCATCTTAGAACAGCCAACAAAAAGGGAGGGGAGAAAGAAAAGAGGTTTTGCCTTTTTTATAACTACCAACAATGTAAAAGCATACTAATTCTGGTTTCATTTCGGTGTACACCTTCACTTACACAAGCAAAATGTTGAAGAGTGCATTTTGTTTTAAGATAATTCCACATTCTTGAATTATTCGTTTTTAAAACAGATGAGAGGTTGTCATGCAATTTTTTACGAACAACTTTTGATAATTCACATTCTACCCTTACAATACATCAAATCAAAAACTTACAGATTCAAAGCATGCTTTGGAATGCGAAAAAAACTTTTATCTTCACATATGTTAATGAACCAGGCAAGTTGTTTTCAAGTTGATATTATCGTTTTAAAACCTCAAGGCATTAGCCTTATTACATAAAAAAATTCTCCTGCAAAATAAAAGTTTAGCATTAAGATAAATATGTCAAGTGTCCCATCTGAATGTTGGGATAGAGTTTCTAGTCCTTCACGCTAGTAGTATCCATATAATCTTGACTGCCCTAGCCAAACGAGCACAAGAGATTGGGGAATTCTAAACAAAATGTGTTCTGTCCAAACCAACTTGGGGTGGTATTTTTCATGATTTTTTATACTGGTTTATGAGCTGTGATCTCTTGGATCTGTTGATCTTTTACATTCAACCAAGCAAGAAGGTGGAGCATTGTTCAATGTTTGTTTCCCAAAGACAGAACCTCAGTGGTCTTGGCTTTTTTTGTTCAAGCCCTGAAATGTGACTTGAACCTGGAGCCTCACAATTTAGAGGTGAGAGTATTGTTAACTGAATCACAGGGGACATACAGAATAGGGGTGGTACGGGTCCAGAAACGGTTTACAAGAATGACCCCAGAGATGAAGGGCTTGTCAAATGACGAGCAGTTGAGGACCCTGGGTCTGTACTCAATGGAGTTTAGAATGATGAAGGGAGTTCTGATTGAAACTTACAGAATACTGAGAGGCCTGGAGAGTGTGGACGTGGACAAGATGTTTCTGCTAGTGGGAGAAACTAGGACACAAGGGCACAGCCTGAGTGAAGGGCTGACTCTTTAGAACTGAAAGGAGAAGGAATTCCTTGAGCCACAGGGTGGTTAATCTGTGGAATTCATTGCTACAGAGGGCTGTGGAGGCCAAGTCATGGAGTGCATTTAAGACAGAGGCAGATGGTTCTTGATTGGTAAAGGGAACAAAGATTATGGGGAGAAGACAGGAGAATAGGGTTGAGAAACATATCAGTCATTATCAAATGGCACAGCAGACTCGATGGGCTGAATGACCCAATTCTGCTCCTAAATCTTATGGCCTGATGGGTGGAACCCTTACTAAAATCCTTCAATATATTGACAAACCAGATTTTATCTGCATTCCTCAAATTGCACCAGGTTACCATTATTAAAACCATCAAGGGGTAATTTTTAAATTTAATTGGAAAAAAGAAACAGTTATATTCTATCAAGTATGGAAGACATTTATTAGCTGATTATGCAAACGCAGTCTATTGTAAACATGGACAGTAACCTAATCAGTGAAATCTCAAGCTTATTTTGAGCACTTTTTGTGGTGTGCGCCCAACACAGAAACTCTATCACATTATCTTGATACCAGACTTTTTCTTACATTCCAGATCGTGCGAACAGATCACAGGAGAAAATTATAATGTCATTAATTGATAACTGTAGCTGTTTGTGAAAACATCATCTTGCTTTAAACTACTGTAATTAAAAATGTACAATTCTGGAACACCTTACGCTACACTAACAGCCTGCACGTGATTTATATGAAGTGCAACAAAAGTACTCATTTTTGTATTATTTGTATGTTTAAAGTATTCAAGTAAATTAGGTAAACTGATTTAGAGAAATCCCTGCAAGAAGTTGTCACTATTGATCAAGTTAATTACTACAAGAGGTAAAATTGCTTGCAAATACATGGTTTAGATTATTTTTAAACTTTTAGCCTTTTCAAACTTGGTGCCATTTAGAATGCATTCCTTTTTTTGTCTTTGTTCAAGTTCAAATACAACTGAATGTGGTACCCCAGTTGAGAGACAAAACTTGCCAGTTAAACTAGGTTACATCTTGTTCAAATGAACAACATTTGGATGCGGTTAAAAACTTCCTCCTCCTCATGTGGTCTCAATTCCACAAATCAAAAGATGAATCAAAATAAAAAAAATACTTAAAGCTATCCAAGATGTAGAGAACCTTGCAATGTCAGTTTACAAGTCATGGCTAGTGCTATAATAGTAGCCGAATTTGTCTGGTGCAGCCAAAGGTAGAGAGAGCTGTTTTTAATTCATTCATAGATAATGCATACTTTAGAACATGGCAGTCCAGCTGCTTAAACCAAACACTTAAAGGGAACATATCATATTGGAATCAAGTTGCCTAATTCTTCAAGTCACGCAAGAATATTCTAACCAATACTGTGGAGTACCAGAAACAAAAGCAGAAATTGCTGGAAAAACTCAGCAGGTCTGGCAGCATACGTGGAGAGAAACCAGAGTTAACATTTCGGATCTAGTGACCCTTCTTCAGAACTCTGTCCACAGATGCTGCCAGACATGCTGAGTGTTTCCAGCAATTTCTATTTTCGTTTATGATTTTCAGTTCTTTCATTTTTTTTGTGTAGAATACCTGTCTCTTTCCAAAGGTGTTAAGACTAAAATTACTCAGTGCTTGAAAACTTAAAAATGCTGTTAGTTGTCCTCTGTGAAAACCTACCTGGCAGAATAATAAGCACAAGAAAAGTCTGAATGCACTAGAGATCATCATGTAAAAGTACAATAAGAATACATTTAGGATTTTTCTAAGCACTGCAAATGAAGAAACAGCTTAAAGTGATCGTTTGGTACCTAACTCCAAATTGGATGACACTGAGTTTTGTCTACCATTTGAAAAAGCTTTAGACACATTGAAGAATTTCATTATTTTCAGAATAGGCACTGCCTGACATTTTCACCCTGACTGAACCATAATCCCTCTGTCAAATCCAGCAGTGGCATCAAACAAGATATCTAGACCAAATGCCATATCCTCTAGATTGCATGGTACAGAAATGGTGAACCAGAGTTAACAGTTCAAGTCAAAACTTGATGAAAATCTTTTGACGTGAAATTTTAACTCTTTCTTTCTTTCTTGCTGCTTGACCTGCTTAGTATTTCAACCACTTCTGTTTTTAGTTCAGACTTCCAACACATGTAGTATTGTGTTTTTGAAGAAAAGAAATTAAACTAGATAAAGTTATTGGATGGCGTCTGCTTTTCCTCATTAACGTACTATAGAAAAACAAAATATTTTTTAAAAATTACAGAGCATACTGACTTACATGATCGCCGATTGGAATTCTTTTGTGGCTGAACAAATGCTATGGGTCTTCGAAGTGCAAATCTCCTACAAGGTGGTAATTACAAAAACTGTTAAAGCTGGACCTAGGCTTGATGAAAATACTAAAACCTGAAGAAAAATTGTTATGGCATCAGTCTATCTTGTAAAATATTGCAAAGCAAAACAATGCATTTGATTTTACTGTAGACAAAACAAATCCTGAAGCTTCTAAATTTTAGTTAGTGGAGCCAAAAAACTGTTAAATCTCAGCTCTGTATTGCACATCAAACTGTTTTCCACCATCTTATTCCAAACTGGAATGCCACTGATGGTATCACTTACTGTCAACTACTCCAACCCGATATGAGGAAATCCAAACTATTTTGGCATTGAGTTTTTCTAGCTATTTATAATCTACACAAAGAGTCTGCTTTCGGATTAATAAAATCAGAAAACAAAGGTTTATAAGATACCTACTTGTAATATATACTTTTACTCACAAAGTATGCTCATTAAGATTGTTATATTATTGTGACCATAGGAAGACTTTGTACTTGGTGGTTACCTCTCTTGGAACTGCTTTGAAGGAATGAGTCCTGCTCTCAGATTGGCATCACACTCGCGTTTGGCTTGCCACCAAGTTGCATCATCCTGGCTGACGATCTGAAGGATATCTCCCTTCTTGAAAGAAAGCCCAGCTTCTTTACATGGAATTGCTTTATCCTCATTAGGGTCATAATCAAATAAAGTCCTGACAAACATCTGGCAAAAAAAACAAAAGTCACATTTATTCATTTTACATATAACATGGCTATCATATCTCATCAACTAAAAGTAACTTGCATCTGATATTACTGTGCATACACTCCAAACTGGAATGAAGCAGCTCAACTGAGGAGGAACAGTAAAACAGAGATAATTTCACATTACTGTAACCACATCAGTTACTCCAACAATCAAGTGTCAAAGAAATCAAGAAACTATTAAAAGTTAGGCAAACAAACTATGTTCACTGCTCAGTCTTATGAATACATACAACCACGTGAACTACAGAGGTTCAGGAAAGCGGTTCACCACCACTGTCTAAGGACAACTAGGGATTGGCAATAAATGCTGGTCTTCCCAGTGACACACATCTATTAACAATTCAAATAATCTGCAAAGGAAATGTTCCACGAGAATAAAGGTATAAACCATTTTCAGTATTTGAAAAGTTAATCTTCATTTTACATGCACAGGAAACCACTGGCAAATGCATTAGCTGTGGTTGATACTCTTAATTCAGAAAGCCAACGATTATTCTAAAGAACAGATACAAATGATCACAACCGCTGTATAACAAATGTGTACATGATAGTTTGCCAATAACCTAATATGGTCAGAAGCGAATATGAAAATTAGCAATTGTCCTTCAACATATACTATCAATTTATTTTTCTAGTTCTTTTTTCCACTCACTGTATGCTTCCATTCTCCCCAAACTTGTAAACATCATTCAAAAGTGGCCACATTCCAATTCAAGATTACACTGACATGTGCCAAACAATTTCTAAACAGGGCCCTGCAATCAATCAGATTGGCATTGAAGCATATGACAGTGGTGCAGTTAATAGCCTGTTTCCTGCACATGCTCACTGGAGATCATTGGAAACAGGAGCAACTTTTTGCCATCAGAAGTTTTTCCCCCCCCTCAATTATGGTGCTCCCAGATTGTTTTACCTCAAAACTCAAAAGAACATATTCTGTCACTGAGTTTGGATGTGTTTTAAACTTAAGAATAATATAATTTCCTACACGTCCTTGAAATAATTCCCGTAATTTTATCATGAGCTTAATCAATGAATACTTGACAGATACTAACTGAAAAAGGTCCCAAGGCTTAGCTCGCACTGTGTGCTGAGTTAGCTGATCTCATTAGAGAATGTTTAACAGGGCCAGAATAACTACATTAATATTCCTGAGTTAAGGACAGGAACATTAAACATAACTCCCTTTCCTGAACACTTTTTAAGAAATTCTGCTGCAAGTACACATGTTGAAGAAATCGAGTAAAGGAGTGGACTCAAGAGCAATCCTCCTCCAATCGAATGCCCTTCCCACACTCACTCTGGTGACATATTACCATCCCTCCAACATTAGGAAAAGTGGAGATTGCTGTTAAAGATTGCAGAGTTCATGCTCTTTCACAGCTCCTCAGATACTGAGTCAATCTGTGCTCTTATACAACAAGACCTGAACAAGTCTCAGGCTTGGGCATATAAGGCCAAGCAATGAGAATCCACAAAGAAAGAGAATCTAACTACTTCCTTTGACATTCAATAGTAGTACCGTCACTACATTTCCATTATCAACATGTTGGGGGCTGACCATTGGCCAGAAACCAAACTGCATCAACCATACAAGTTCTATGGATGTAAGAGCAGGTTAGAAGTTGGGATAATGTGGCAAATGCCTCAACTCCTGACTTGCTGAAGGCTGTCCACCATTGGGCACATCTTGTAACTACAACTGAGGAGTGTGATGAAAAACTCTCTACTTGCCTGGACAAATGTAGCTCCTACAACACTCAACAGCAAGACAAAGGATTGGCACCTCATTTATCATTATAAACATTCATTTTTACAACAGTAATTCATTAAGTGTCATTAGAATTAGACTTATCACTCAATTAATTTTCCTCAAGTTCAGCCAGAGTGAATTAGACTCTGCAGCATGTCATCTGGGATCCCCTCCAATTAGCCCAGATGCAAAATAAAAAGCCAATCAAAGGCATTACTTTTTTCCCCAATAATAGGTTCTGATGTGCCTGGATTTTGAAAAAGTTTGGATGACACTCCTCAGAAAATATCCAGACACCAAATGGAATAGAAGCTGGGTTCACTGAGCATTTGATACAGAAGATTAGATGAGACAATTATTATCTTAAGTAAATTTATAATGAACAAAACATACAATTTTTGATGTTATAAGACCATAAGAAATAGGAGCAGATGTCGGCTGTTTGGTCATTTGAGCCTGCTGCACCATTCAATAGGATCATGGCTGAGCCAACATTCCTCACATCCACTTTCCTGCCCTTTCCCTACAACCGTTGATTCCCCAAACTGCTAGTACAGACATGATGGGTTGACTGGTCCCCTTCTGTACAGTAAAATTCTACGGTTCCAACAATCGATCCATCTCAGCCTTAAATATATACAAGGACTCTGTGGCAGAGTGCAAAAGATTCAACTCTCAGAAGAAATTCTTCCTTGTCTCAGTCTTAAATTGGCATCCCTTATCCTGAGACTATGCCCTCTGATCCTAGACTGTCCCATGAGGGAAACATCCTTTCAGCCCTTACCCAGTCAAGCCCTTAAGAATTCTATATGCTTCAATGAGATCACCTCTCATTCTTTTAAACTCCAATGAGTACAGTCCAAAGGTTCTCTGAACTGCCTCCAATGAAATAATATTTATATATTTTCTTAAATAATGGGACAAAAACTGCTCTCAGTACTCCAGAGGTAGTTTTCGCCAGCAGCTTTTTCAGTTACAGTAACACTTCCCTACTCTGAAACTCCAACCCCCTTGAAATAAGGGCTAACATTCCATTAGACTTCTTGCTTACCTGCTCATGTGTGCTAGCTTTCTGTGTATTGTGCACAAATCCTTTCAGGTCGCAGCTTTCTGCAGTTTTTCTCCATTTAAATAATACTATTCTTTTGTTCTCCCTTCCAAAATGAACATTACACTTATCCACATTACACTCCATTTGCAAACATTTTGCCACTTACTTAACCTATTAACATCTCTCTGTAAACTGCTTCCATTCCTCTCACAACTTGCCTTTTCACCTATTTTTGTGTTGCCTGCAAATTTGGCTACAATACATTCATTTCTTTCCTCCAAGTTATTTATAAATATTGTAAACAGTTGTGGTCCCAGCACCGATCCCCGTGCAGCCACACTGGTCATGGGTTGCCAACCTGAAAAAAAACCCGTTACCCCCATTAGATAACACAGTTTCGCATCGGGACCCTTCTTCAGAAAATGAAGACCCAAAACGTCAGTTTTCCTGCTCCTCTGATGCTGCCTGGCCTACTGTGTTCCTCCAGCTCCCCACTGTGTTATCTCTGATGCCAGCATCAGCAGTTCTGATTATCTCTGTAATCCCCATTTGCTGTTTCCTGCCCATTTGCCAATTCTCTATCAACACCAATATACTATCCTCAACATCATCGGCTCTTGTCTTATGACTTAACCTTTTGTAAGATACTTTGTTGAATGCCTTTTGGAACTACAAATATGTGTCTACTGGTTCCCCTCCATCCCTTCAAAAACTCTAATAAATTAGTCAGACACTATTTCCCTTTCATGTTGCTATGCAGACTATGTTTAACGAGTTTACAATTTTCCAAATATGCTGCTATTACTTCCTTAACAAATGATTCTCATACTTTTCCAACAATAGATGTTAGGCTAGTTGGCCTACAGTTACCACTTTTTGCCTCCCTCCCTTTTGGAATACATGTGTCACATTTGCAATTTTCCAATCCTCTGGTACTTCATCAGAATCTAGGATTTTTGGAAAATGCCAACCAATCCACCACCTCTGTAGTTACCTCTTTTAAGATCTGACAGTACAAATCAAAAAGCTAAATAATACTCTGAAAAGAAAAGACAACTAGTTCATATTTCTATGAGAAGATCCAAACCTCAACATGTACTTAATACAAAGCAATACAAAAATGCAAAGACATCCATCAAATAGCAAAGTATTATTAGCTTGATCCCAGGGAATGAGACTCACTGGGTTCAGAATACATCTAATGCGGAAGTGACCAACACAAACTATATTCCTCTGACAAAACTAATCATTGCAGTTATGTTGAGATTTCTACAAGTAATATGCTTTGGGGCTTTATAATTAAAAGGTGGAATGGAAGATGATTATTTGATCAATAATAGACCATCTCTAATTAATTCAAATTCTCCCATTTTAGGTGAAAATACCTTTCCATTATAATGATGTTGCCCTTTTAACTTGCAAAAGTTCATTATTAACTTTATTCTTGAAAATCTAGTTTAGGTCATATTGGTCATGGTACTGCATCTAGTAAGATAATAGCTTAGCGTTCCTTCATCAGTATGTGCCCTCACTTATCTGAACTGGCACTGTAGTCTAGTGCTTGGTGTCATCACAAAGTTATTCAAAATAGTGACTGTCCAATGTGTGTAATCTTTATAAGAAATTTCACATTGTTGGACATGTTATGTCTGGTCAGTTTTGTCCTTCGAAAACTGCAGCCTGCTGTAGGTTTTACTGGCAAGTAACTTTAAGTTAATTTGTTTCCATTCCATAGGTTTTAGCCATTTCGTCCTCATACTCCCTCTTCTACTGACACTGTGGCAGCAGTGTGTTTAATCTATGAATTACACTGTAGCAACTCAACAAGGGTCCTCCAGTAGAAACTTCCAAACCACAGCCTTAACCACCTAAGATGATAAGGTTAGCAGGCACATTGGAAAATCAACAGTCCTGTGCAACCTTCCAAGCCACATATATGTCCTTACTAACAACTATATTGCCCTTCCTTCACTGGTGCTAGATCAAAATCCTGAAATTCCCTTTCAAACAGCATTAGTGATGTACCTACACTATGTGGTCTGACATGATTCAGAAAGGAAGCAATACACTACCACGATCCCAAGCGGGGTAAGGATGGGCTATAAATGCATAGCTTACCAATGACAATCATGTGCTATATTTAAGTAAGTAA